ATTATAGACATTTATAAGTAAATTACATATGTATACAGATATATATTATATAATCATTATGTATATAATATTAATTTAAAAGTTATTTATTGCTAGACTGTCAGACATTTCGTATTAATATTTATTTTCTGTATTTTTAGTAATTTTACTATATGGTTCAGAAGTATAATATGGGGTTAATTAAAAATAAATTTTGACATAGTTCTATAGAATAATATTAAAATGTATGCACACGCGTATGTTTATTTGTATACACATACATATATACATTATGTATTATTTATAAGTCGTCTTATATATATTTATGGTGTTGTAATTCTCATAGTAATTATATACGTTTGTATTTTGTTATATTACAAAAGTAAAAGAACAATAATTATTGGTGAGAAAAAAGTCTTTGTGTTTTAAAATTTATTTAATATTAAAATTGTGTCATTTTTTTATATTTCTTTTTATATTTTTATGGATGTTCGTATATATAAAGGGAATTTTAATGAATTATACTCATAATATTTTACTTTGTAATATTTTGTACATATATACGTTTTATACGAACATATTGTGACCTCTGACGTTAATGAAGTTGAATGAGATGGTCAAAAGCAATATCAATGCAAAATAATCAATTGGAGTATTGATACATATCAAAGTATATATTACTGTTACTGAATTAAGTATATTGTCAATAAAGCAGTAGAAAAACTACAACCTCCCGCTTTCACATCAATGAACAATTTATAATAAATGTTTAAATCTATTATTGCTGTATCTCTACGAACCATGCTCAGTCGCCCAAATTTGAGGACATTTGTGGGGGTTCTCACTAGACACAGCCTCTCGGTGGTCCATTTGAAAAGGACAGGCAGGGTGACAGATGAAGTCTGCCGTTTATTTCTGGCGAAGGACGAAACCATGGGACACTTACTGTGTGAGTGCGAGGCGGTTGCTCGCCTGCGACTGAGATGCTTCGGGGGGGGAGGGCTTTGTGACCCCAGGAATCATCTCGCAGCTTGGTGTGACTGTCATACTGCGGTTTGTCAGGGGCCTAGGTATAGAGCTAATGTAGGTGGGGATGGGAATCACAAAAGATCGTATGGGTCGACGTCAGGAGGGCCTACGGGCCTCGGTCCCCGTGAGGGAAAAAAAAACACTAGGAAAACCGCACTACAAAAATTTATTTATTCTTTTTTTAATTATTTATATACAATAATTTTTAATTTATCACTTACCTTTTTTCGAGTATAATTGACTTTTGATATTTTAGCCAATTTCATTTTATTCCTATTATCGACTTCATAATAATAACTTATTTCATTATTATTAATAACGTCTAAAGTTTGTTGAAAATATAATTTACAATAATTGAAATTCATTGGAATTGTTTGTTATTCCGATTTTTTTTTTTTTAATATTTCTCAAATTCAAACACCAAACCCAACAAGCGCAAATGTTTTTTTTTTTTTCTTAATTTTACAGTTCCATACAAGTTATTAAACTGCCCCCCTAGAGTTTTTACAAAATTTTTCGATCAGATTTTTTAAAAATGAATATTTTTAAATTTACAAATTTTTTTATTTTAAATTTAATTTTTAAATTTTTTATAATTCAAATATTTTATTTTTCGTAAATTTTTGTTTTTAGCAATTTTCTGTTCAAAAATCATCCAACATCTAACTGTCATAATAATAATAAGAATAAAATAAGGGGCAAAAAAAAAATGCATTTGATAAAAAAAATAAAAACAAAAAAATAAAATTTAATTTTTTTTTAGCCTTGTTCTATTATTGTACATTCAAAGCAAAATAACGGTGTTTCTTATACATGTGTGCGTGTATGTAGATTTCTTTTAAAAAAATATATACGAATTTTGTATATACCTGAAAAGAAAACATTATGCCCAATGCATTTCATATTTTTCTTGTTTTTGATCCACTACAACTACTACTATACGACTTTGGCTACAACTACCACCATATGCAATTAATCTTTTTCATATTCTTGAATGCATAAAAGAAAAAATTATTATTCCATAAATTAAACTTTGCTCTTCTTACTATACAATTCTTATATAGCCCAAATATAAACGAAATTTTGTCTGTATATGTGTGATTTTTTCAGTTATAATAAAAGGGTACACAAGATTTTTTCATTTTTTTTTTTGACAAAACAATAAAAGATGAACGGTAAAGGAAAAGAAAAAAAAGGAAAATAGAAACACTTAAGAATGTGTATAGGAATTTTTTTTTTCTGTTTTTTTTTTTTTTTGTTTCTAAAAATCTCGAATATTTTAGTACCTTTACCTTACTTGTAGTGTTTATGGGTGCAGATTATTTAATATATGAGTTTACAAAAAGTTTTTAAAATAAAAGTAAATGTAAAAGACAGAGAAAATATAAAATAATTGACAATGATTTTCTATTTCACTTTTTCACTCTTATTTTTTCTTTTTTCTATCTTCTATTTTAGGAATTCATTTGGTTATCATCATCATTATAATCATCATCCGGTACACCTGTATGAGGTTAGACAATTGAATGTTTAGAGTCACTTAACAAAAATGAAAAGAAAAAAATAGAAGAAAATAATGAAAATCTTTTAAAGTAGCATATTTCAAGGGGCAAAAGAAAAATAATAATAGTTTTTTTTTCTGTTTTTTGTTTTTTTTACAATATAAAAATGAACAATATTTTTATAATTGGTCAAGTAAACTTTAGGATTTTTTTATAATAAATTAAGATGTTTTGTATGCTGTAAGCTATGCACCCTACATGTAAATGAGTAATCGAAGACCTTTTATAATTTTTAAAATATAGTTTTAACTCAATATTGTTTAAAAGATTAAATTTCAATATCTTAAATTTTCCAAAAACTATTTCCTAATAACACAGTTCAACTTTAATAAAAGAAAGTTTCTCACTAGTCAAGTTTTAGAGACGAATTGGATTTTAGTAAGAGGGGATTTTTGATAATTCAGTCATGCATTAAAAGTTCTAAATTAAATCTCCAAAAACCTTTTCTTACAAAGTTGCAGAAACTGAGTATTTCACTTTTCCATTCCTATAACATAAATAATATATATAACATTTTTGCAGAAGTTATAAAAAAACTTAAAAATTTCTTTAAAACTTTAAGCACAATCTATTTTTACAGATTTTCCAGTTTAGATTTTACCCAACATGCTTTATATTAAAACCTAAGTAAGAATTGATTTAAAATGAAGCAAAGATACAATAAATGAAGGTACAATTGACAAAACTGGTTTCACTCCATATTTATTGCTCAATATTACAAATGGAAAATCTGTTTAATTAAACATAAACTATAGAATTCATTATGCTTATATTGAATATTTTAATTTTTAATTAAAAAAAAAAATTAAAAAGTCTTAGGAATATATGCCTTAAATTTATTCAATAGCATGAAAATAACATCAGAAAATTATCAAAAAGGTCATAAGTAGGTAATTTCATAGATAACTATAGGATTGAAAATCCTGTTCAAAAAAACATAATAAACTATTTGTACAAAATTAAGTCTACTACAACCTTAAAACCTTCTCATATACATGTATGTGTACACAGATATTCAATTGCACATTCCTTATATGAATTCTAATGAAAAGGATTTCATTCATCAAAATGATCTACTAAAGAATAAATTGCGTGTATAGGGCGAAGCATAAATATTTTTTTATTTCAAATTTTAATACTGCAAAACTTTTATTTTAAAAAGAATTTTAAAAAATTTTCAAATTATTTTAGAAAATAATCTACTATATTATTATTTTATTCATACATAATCTTAAATACATAGAAGATATTAAGTTCAAAGATAATTTAAAAAAAGGGAAAAAAAAGGACTAACGCATCTAAAATGATTTTAATGTTTCATTATTAATGCGTGTTTATACTTCAAAGGAATTAAATGTGAAAGGATTTGATATTTTCACAACCTATATTAATAGCAAACTATTCATATTTTACCCTAACGATATAAACTTATAGGACGTAGCTATTGGAATATGAAAACAAATTTTGAAGTTTAAAAACAAATCCCTAGAACATTAAAATTATTTCAATCAAATACAATTACTTGTTTATATAATTAGCAGCTACAATAGAGAACATAAAACTTTTCTCTTCCTTCTTCCCCCTTCTTCATAAATTTAAGTTAACAAAATTTTAATCTAACTTAAAATCGTACTTATTCTACAGGTATCATAAAACTAAGAGGATAAAACTGAGTTCTTTTCAAAAAAAAACAATAAAAGAAGACGTTTTTAGAGCACAATAAAATTTAATGAAAGCAAAATATGGAAAAAAAAAATCTCCTAATAATTAACTTAAAAAATATTATGTATGCACACGTGTAAAAATTACAAAGAAAGGAGGTCATTGCAAATCATAATAAGATATACAAGTATTTAAAAATGTGGAACAAATAAAATATGAAAATAATATAAAACATGGTAAATATTAAATTTTGAAGAAAAATTATTGTTCACATATGTACAATTTTCGATAGAAAATGTTTAGAATGATAAAATAACGTTTATAGAAAACAATGTTTATGAGAAATAACTGGAACTCATTTATGAGAAATAACTATTGATACACATAATTTCAAATAATGTTGAATAACAATAGTTTGAAAATTAGTCGATTGAATTTTAAATCGAAGAAGAATTGAATTTCTTTAATTAACTTTAAACAAATTTTTTATAAACGTGACTCTGATTATATAAAATTTTAAATTAATTGGATATCCTAATTTAAACACTGTTTGCCCTCTATTTTCATATTTATTTTCTTACTTCTTATTTATTTTCTTACAATAGTTTTATATTCTTTCATACTTATATGAACTAACTAATAAATATGAGGACGCTATGCTGTAATTTTTATATCCTATTATTATCCTAGACCTATCCCAGAAATATCTTAGAAATTAATAATTATAATAAGTACAATCAATTTTACCGAAAATACATACACGTAATATTCTCAAATATTATTTAATTTCTTTATTATTCTCTAAATTATAAAATTTCCATGTTTTCTTTATTTATAAGAAATTCTTAATAATTTGTTTTACACATTAAATTTATTTTAAACATAATAATAAAATTATGCATATAATAAAATAAATAAAAGTACATAATTATATAATACAAAGTAAATAATAATAGTAATAATATTTATTATTATTAATTAAAGTTAAGAAATAGCTACTTTTTGGTACAATTATAAAATAAAATAAAATTTCTAGTTATTAAATAATTAAAAAAATATATAATAGTACACCGCATGTATGTATGTGTATAGATTTTTGTTATTTTATTTTTTTTTTAATTTTTAATTAAATTTTAATTAACTACTATTCATGTATAGTAGTATATGTTATAGTTTTTTTTTCCTATAATGTCATCTTTTTAAAATGTATATTTATAAAATTGTTTTGCCCCTCTGTGGTGGAGGTGGTGTAGGTGGATTAATACCTTTACGTTTTCTTAATGATTCAGTTGGTCCTTGAGTTGGACGTAAATATTGTCGAAAATTAAATGGTCCCAAATATGATTGACCATCACCGATAACACCAGAATTATTATTGTTATCAATATTATTGCCATTATTATTGTTATTTCTATGTAATTCATTACGATAATTTCTTCGTTGCAAAAATATTTCCCTTTCAATAGATGATTCAGTTGATGAATGACTTGAATTTGTACCTAAAAATTAAAAATATTATTAATAATACTGGTTAAAAATTGTATTAATTTAATGTTTATTTAAATATATAATTGGACAGGTTTATGTTATTGTGTTAAAATATACAGATATAAGTTATGTGATAATCAATATTAAACAAAGATTTAATGAATACATTTGATAAATTTAATTGAATATTAAAAGCTCCGTTTTCATTTTAATCAAAAACACGTTTGATTGGAAAATTTTTCTAATTCAGTTGTGTAAAAACTTTTTTTTGTTGAATTCGAGCAATATTACTCAAATTAAGCATCATTTACAATGGAATTCATTGCGAAAACTATTTATAAAGAGATGTATTTAAAATCCTCGTACTTTTATATACAATGATAATTTGAAAATTTATATTAAAAAAACGAAAACAACTACAAAAAGGAGCAAATAAGAAGGATAATATGTTTGTAGTTGAAAAAGAAAAATAAAAATACAAACTTAATGTAAGCATCTTTTGATTTCTTTCTCACAAACACTCATAAGCTTTTCCGGTAAGCAATATTTTTATCTATATATTGCATAAATATATCGACTTAATTATCACATATGTGTGTATTTAAAATATCGATTTCTTCTTAAAAATACATAGCTACATTTTTTTTTTTTTGCAAATTTGTATATAAATATACATTATAAAGAAATAATTTATATTCTATTTATAATTATTATATTACCATTATTATTTCTAATATTATCATGATCATTATTATTGCTTTTATATATAATAATACCGCCGCTACTATATATGCTACAACTACTATGAGAGCTACTACAATTACTACTACAACTACTGCCACAACTATTACGTAGATAATTATTACCGGCAATTATTGATGTTGATGTTTTATTTGTTGTAGCTAAATTATTATATGGTGGTATATTATTATTATTGGTATGAATTGGCGTATTAAAACGATTATTACGTAATGGATAACGTTGTAAATTATTATTTTGTTGTTGTTGTTGTTGTTTATTTTTTTGTAATAATTGTTGTGGTTGTACTTCAATATTTAAATATTTTGATATTTGTTGTTTTTCATAATTTAATCTTTGATTATAATTATTATTATTGTTATTATTATTAGAATTTAAATTGGCAAATGATGATAAATTTGTAGCTCTTGTATTTAAATTAACTTGATTTTTAATATTACTATTGCTATTTAATAATCGTTTTCTTTCAGTTTCTTTTGAAAAATTCATTATACTTGGAACTTGTATACCACCATTTGATGAATTTTGTTTAGTTTTACTTTTTGGTAAATTATTTGTATCACCAAATTTTCGATAGACAACTTTTCTGGCAGCAATTTCAATTTCATTTGGTTGTATATTTTTATCATTTTCAATTTTATTATTATTATCATTTTTATTTATATTTGATTTTCCATTATCATTAATATTTTGATAATCATTATTATTTAATTGTTGTCCACGTTTTACCGGTATTATTATATCACTTTTAATATCATTCTTTTTTGATGATTTTTTTAAATTACCATTTGGTGGAATATTTTGTGAACGTTTCACTTTATTATTTTTAACATTATTCTCTTTTTGTTTTGAATGTAAAAATCCAAATAAATATTTTCCATTTGTTTCAGTTTTATTACTTTTATTGTTGTTATTTGCATTATTATTATTATTATTATTACTGGTGTCATTGAGTTTTGTTGGTGTTATTAAATCAGCATTTGATAAATATGAATGACTTGATTGAGAACGTATTTTACCAAATCTTTGATTAAGTTGTGGTGGTGATCTTTGTCTTTGTCTACTTGTTGGTCTTATATTTGATATTGAACGTAAACCATTTGAATTAATTTCAGGTGGTGATTTACGATTAATTTGTCGACGAAAATTTGTTAATTGTACTGGATTATTATTTTCTGGTGGATTCAAATAACTAAATGATGGTATTTTGGTTTGACTAAAAATTAAAAAATAAGAAAAAGTTAATATTAGAAAATTAAAATATATACATAATCTAAAATATAAAATATTTTAAAATTTTAATTTACTTATATTCTATTTTGAAATAATGAAGAGAATTATAATTTAAGTAACCGAAAATTTAATATAAACAATTAACATTTACTAGCATTTACTACAATTCAATCCAATATTATGAAAATTAGCACATTTTGAAAGAAAATTTTCAATAGGAAGTAGAATTTCTTCCAAGTGCTATTTATTATTAAAATTTTTTACTTTTATGTAAAGCTAATCAATACCGTACGGATTAAGAAAAAAAACTTCATTTTCAAATACTTTCAATTCTTTAATTTTAATTGAGATTTTTTCCAATCATATTATTCGTTCAAAATGTGCCCTTTTAAATTTTAAACATAAAATTTTTGCTCTAAATTAAACCTTTTTTCTAAACATTTATCTAAACTTACCACATTAATTTTTTTTTAGTTTTTTCAAAACCTAATTAAAATATTCTTTACTTTATATACAAAAAAAAATTTACATTTCTTTAATTTCAAAAACTTTCATTAAAGGTGTAATAAAACATTATAAGGGGTGTCAGAAAATCTGTGTTGAATCAAAGAAAAACAAAAAATTTGTCAAAAAATTAATAATGCAAAAATTCAATGATTCCAAAAACAAAAAGACAAAAACAAAAATGATCAAAGATTTTTCTAAATAAAAATAAAATTAAATTTAATCAATAAAAATACAATTAATCCGAAATTATTACAACAATTGCCGAAATGAAGAGCATGAAACCGGTAAATATTTGATACAAAGAGCGCATTTTGAAGTGCACAACAAAAAGTAAGGCAACAATTTCGTTGGGTTCGAAAACTTTGTTTGTATCTTTGTCAATTACTAGTCAAATTTTGATTGACAGTAATAATTCAAATTATACTTTATAATATAAAGAATTGTTACTGTTAAAGACAAACAAAACTCAAAATAATTATTTAAAGAAGGTGAGTGCCTTAAAAATGATATTTTTGAGAAAAATATTTATGTCCGGCTTTAATAACCATTTTAGGTAAATTTTATTGTCTCAGTAATTAAACGGCACTAGAGACTCGTATATTTATTATTTTCAAAGACAAGATTTCTGAATCATTTTTGAAACACCGCAAGAATTCACTCAAAGTGCGTTAGAATGATATTTAATAAAGTTTTCGAAAAGTTTTTTGAGCTACATTAAATAATAACGCGACAAAAAGCCATCGATTCACGCACAAATTTTTAATATTTCCAATTTCCTAACTCTGATTTGTTATAATTAGTATCATCAAATTATCAATAGTAAACATCAAATACTACAAATAAGTAAAGAAAATTATAACAATATAAATGATGTCACAAATAAAATAAATGATTAAATTTTAATCACACATTTATATAATTATTAAATATAAGGCACATTTTGAAGAAGAAGTTTAAAATTTAAATTAAAAAATTTCAAAAAAGACCAAAAAAAATCCAGTCATAAAGTTGATTATTTAATCTCTTCTTACCCAGACGGACCATAATTTTTATCTGGCCCATTATTTGGTGATGGCGATTGCCTTAAATATGCTGAATTTATTAATCTAGATCCAAGTATATCTTCGCGACTTGACATAACCACGCTTTGTTGTTTCCTGTAAAATTTTTTAAAAATTTATTTTTTTTTTCTTAAATTTTACATATTATTTTATTTGCTAAGTCGCAAATATTTAATCTTCGAATGAACAATGTGTAAAAAATAGGATTGTTCAATAAGGATTCAACATGTATGTCATGAAAACCCCTTTGAAAACTACAAATCAGTGATAAAGCAAATGATCAAATGAACCAAAATTTTTTAACTGAGAAAATTGTGCTGCCTTTCTTTAAAAGTAATGTCTTATATTTTTTGAAAATAATATTATTAAAAAAAGCCTACAATGCAATGATTTAACGATCTGTTTACCGATCGCTAGGCGTTATAAATGCTGCAAAAAAAAGAAATTTCAAGCTTTCCACGGATATTTCATTATTACCTGTCAATTTCACGTTGATAAATTTCCTTTTGTGAAAATGGTAAATCCCATTTTATATCTGAACTTTCTAAAGAATTAAGCGGTTCATTTTCCAAGGAATTATTTCTAATTTTTTTTTTTTTCACATAATTTTTAAGAACGAAATTTTAATAAAAATAAGAAAAATCCAAATAAACTAAAGGAAATTCTTTTCTTACCTTGCTATCTCCTCCTTTTGTAATAAATCATAATATGAGCCTGAATTTGATTTATCAGATAAATTTGATCCTGATAATAAATTATTTATTCCCAATAATCCTGGTATCAGAACAAATCCTGGTGGACGCTTATAATTATCTGGTAATTTTTCAATTTTATTCATTGGCACACTATCACGATTACGTCGTAAATTCTTATGTATGTCTTGGTTTCTACTATGAACCTGAAACAAAATAAAATTTAATTAATATTTACCATAAGTTAGATTTTAAAGAAAATTCTTTTGATATAACCTTTTGCGCAAATGAAGCCAATTCAACTTGTTGATCTTTTGGTGTTAAAACACGTTTTGCGGCTGGCATTATATCAACACGTCCAATTTGATTAGATTTCTTTTGTGTTGTAAAATATTTTTGTATTATTCTTTCAGCATCATCAGTTTTAAAGCCTTCTTTTTGCAACATTCGAAGTGCTTCAATACGATTTCTGGCTGTATTTAAAACAATTTTTACTTTAGCTTCTTGTTCTGGTGGAAGTTTCTTCTTTCTAATCGAATAACTTCGGTAATCTACAATAAAAATGAAACTATTAAACATTATTTCTAAAATAATATTTTGACTTAACTCACAATTTTGAATAATTGTTGCAGCTACATCCTTATTTAAGTTTTCTTTATCTACCCGGTTATTGTTACTACTTTGTTTCTTTTGTTTCTTAATATTTTGATTTTCTTTTGCTTTCTTTTCTTTGGCTAATAATTCTAATTCCTTTAATTCTCGTTTTCTATTTTCTTTCATTTCTTGTACATTACGTCTTGTTAAATAGCCTCGTATGTAACGTTGTAGAGTAATTGCAGTTTTATTCATTGCAGCTAATGAACGTTTATATTTTAATCTACATAGCCACATTCTAATACAAGATTGCAATAGAATAACCTTACGAACATTTTCTTCATATTGACGAGCCAAAAATTCCACATGATAATATTTCAAAAATACTTTTGTTTTGCCTAAAGCCCATCCATCCATTCTTAGCCGTACTAGCAAGAGACGACAATTTTCACGATTAGCAACAATATTTTCATTAAAACCAAAAGCCAAAAAACAATAACGTTTTAAAAATTCAGCAAATGTAAAACGATGAGAAAATCCTAATTGTCTTATACGTATCGTTTCCATAACACCAGCATAACGTAATTGTTTTAAAACTTTTTGTGGTTCAAAAGTATTCGCCTGCCTTCGATCATTCGGTTTAATACATCTAACAAATTGTGGTGAACCAGCAACCATTTTTTGTAATAAATCCATTAATGAATATCTAAAATATGTTGAAACTGTTTGTTGTGCTCTTGATTGTGATGCTAAACCTCTTGAATTACAACGATCTGCACTTTCAATTATTTTTTGTAAATTCGGATGCCTTAAATTACAATGAGCTTCTTGCATTTGTAAAGCATTATATAGATTTCCAGTTTTTGTAATTGGACATTGGAATAAGAATCGCACCATATCAATTTTACTCTGACGTACTAATTGTATAACTTCAGCAGGTAAGAAATTTCGATTCTTTTCTAAAAATGAATCCGCCTGATATATAACACGACCAGCAAAATGTTGAATTGCAAAACAACATGCATCAGATTTTGGTCGAATATAAAATTTTGATTTAATATTATTATGACATTTTTCAATAAAAGTACGATCTGTTGCACGAGGAAAACGACTTTCTTCATCGAGTAAAGCTAAAAGTCCTAAAGGTCGACTTAAAAGCATATCTAAAACTGGCCTATTATCACTGAATTCAACAAGATCAACTGGAATCCCTTCAGCAATATACTCCTAAAATGAAATTATATTTTTATTGGATAATTTTAATCAATAATGTTAATGAACTACCTGTTGCTCCCAGGTGAATATGTGTTGATTGAAATAATACTGTATTTGTTCATTAGCTATATTAATACATAATTGTTCAAATGAATTCTTTGGGAAATTTTCAAATCCAAATATATCAAGTAATCCTACCGAAAGCTGCTCATTGCTAAAATAGAAAACAAATAAAACTTTAAATATCTATGCAGAAATAAAAAAAAATATTTTCTAATTACCAACTTAATTTATTAAACGATAGTATTAAATTAATTTGATTAACCATCCAATCAAATAATCTTCCATATAGACCTTTAGCCATTGCATCACGTGCTGCACCAGCTTCAAACATGGTATTATTTTTTGTTATAGTTTCACCTTTAGTAACAACTGAATTCGATGTTAAAGCTTCAACGAGTTCACTTACTTCAATGCCTAACAATTTTGAAACACGATGTACCGGTGCTACATCTATTATTCTTGCTTTCGGATCTGTATTATCATTTGAAACAGCTTCACCGAATTCTAAATCACCTAAATTTAATATTGCAGATAAAACTCTATTAACAGTATCCACTTCCTCATTTCGAAAACCAAGAACTTTAAAACTTGACATCAATTGTTTCCAACGTTCAACATTTAAATAACTCGGGGTTCGTGTATCAGCTAAATATTTATGATGTTTTCGAAATGCTGGATCTAAATGATAATGTGCAAGACGATTTTCAGACTCAAGACCATCATACAAATAATAAAATATATGAAAATTTCCTTCACCACTGAAAACAAAAAAAAAAACAAAAATTGAATATTATTGTGAAAAATTATTAATAATTTCTTTCTTACTCAGCTTGTTGTACAACTCGACTCTGTTCTAATAAATATACAGATATTCTAGCACCAGTAACTTTTCCACTACGTGTCATTGTTAAATCCAAATATTTTCCAAATCTTGAACTATTTGAATTAATACCAGTACGTGCATTACCAAAAGCTTCCATTATAGGATTTACTTGTAGAATTTGCAATTCTAAATTTCTATTTGGTGCCTAAAAGTAAGGAAAAATTTTTAAATAGTGAAATGAATGTTATCAGAAAAAAATTAATTTAGCAAATTTCATACCTTTCCTAAATAAACAAGTTGTTTTAATAATAAATTAGCACTTTCAGTTTTACCAGAACCCGATTCACCAGAAATAACAATAGCTTGATTTGTTTTTTGATGAATTAGAGCTTGATGAGCAGCATCTGCAACCGCAAATATATGAGGTGGATTATCTGAACGTGATTTTCCAACATAACGTTTTTGATTTTGTGTTGTATAAAAACCTAATTCAGCAAATGGATTAACAGCTACAAGAATATCACCAATATATGTATAAATTTGATTGTCTTCAAAACGTTTTTCGAGTTGTTCAACTATTGCATTTTCAGTTAAAGCTTCCAAAGCGGCTAAAATTCAGTGAAAAATGAAAATCATTGTTAATTTCGTTGTAATGAAACTTTTATTTAAGATTAGAGACGATTGAAGAAATTTGTTTTGTTACATGTACAAGATGTTCTTATATATTCGTGCCAAATAAACGATATAAGAATATTTTTATCTTCCAACGATATCCCCATATATGACGCTCTCCAAAGTTCATTTAAAATTATTTTTTTTTTTTAATTTAAATAAACTTTATTCAATTTTAAATTTATACAATTTTTAAATACATTAAGCTATGATATGATGATTAAGTTTTGTCTAGATATGTTTAAATATTGTAATTTAATTTTAGTCAACACAAATGAATACTTAAATAATAGATATGGTTATATGGTGTAATATAGTCTTTAAAATCCGATATGTTTGTTATTAGATATGTAAGTTAACAAAATCGATATGTATACCGTAGATAGAATGCTGCCTCAATTGTGAAGCAAATTGACTACAACATATTTTAAGAAATTTCATTTCAAACTCTTAAAATTGAAATTTCTAATTTTATACTGAAAATATATTAGAATTTAAAACAAAATACATCTTAGTTCAAATTTGAATTTAACCCAATCAACCCATTCAACGAAATTTAAAGGGTCTTATAGATACAAATTGTTAATTATAATAATATAAGCAAGAGAATCAACCACTTCAGAATCAAATCACTTAGATTTTTCCTTTTTTTTTATACAAACTGGTAATGCTATTATCGCGCGTCATTAACTTTTCAAAAGAAATTGCGCGCCACTAATGTTCTTGTAATACAATTTTCACTATTATCTTTTTCTTCAGCGTCATCTTCAATTTCAAACGATTCTGGTTGCTCAAAATTTTCCAAATCAACTTCTGGCTCCGGATAATTTTTTTCTGATACCAAATTATGTAAGCAAGCTGTTGTCATAATAATTTTCGATATAAAATCAGCATTCAAATTTGATCCTTAAATGAAAATATAAAATATTTTTAAGTAATTATGAAAACAAAAATGTCTATATTTTAAATATTAACTTATTCCAAGAACTGGAAATCTCTTAGTCCATTTTTCAATTAAAACTATTGAAATTTTATAAATTTCATTTAGCTTTTCATTATATCGCCTCTTTTTACTATTATTTTCTTTAATAAATGGTGTTAATAAATATTTTTGGCATTGAAATTCATTATTTCCAATTATGACAGATCTTTTAAATTCAACACCATCAGAAATTCTTTGTTGTATATCCGATTTATTAAATATATCCTGATCTGTATGTGAACCGGGACACCTGAATTTATCAATATTTTAAAGATTATAATAAAATTCATTTACTTACTTCAATTTTTTATACATTTAACACATGTACAAATTATTTGAAATCATAAAACTAAAAAAATTGACAATAATTGGCTAATTTAGTAATGTGTTAAATATACAAAAACAAAGTTCTCAAATTAATTTTTTAATACCTTCCACAGATGTTTCTGACTTTAAAATCACAATCACAAATAAATTGAACTTTTAATGAGCTCCACTTTTTTGAATTCATATAAGTTTCTTCATCAGTTGCAATTGGTACATGAAACCCTTAAAAAAAATTTTTATTTTTATTAAGAATTCTCCTCCAAAAAATCCTCATTTGCGACATTTTCAAAAAATAATCATTTACCATTGATTACACCAATCAAATTTGGGAATCCATAAAGGGAATAAAATTTTAATTTAACATCCATAATTTCATCGGCGTCAGATGGCATATTAATAAATTCTTTGGCACCCATTTCAAATAAACTGCAAATATGGTATATGATATTTTCAATATTTTCTTTATCATGATGTGGAAAATCTTGACGGACAACATCAAAATTCCCGGTTGCAAAATAACGTAAAGTAATCAATAATTGTTCATAAAAATATTTGACATCAATTAATATTTTGTTAAAATTTTCATCATTTTTCATTTCCAAATAATATTTATAAAGTTTTCCCATAACAACTCTCATTATTAATGATCTCGGAAATCTAAAACGTGCTTCAAAATCTTTATCATTGTAAACATGTACATAATTTATATCAAATTTATCGTTAATCGACAATGGTCTTCTCATTGTCTCTTGTAATTTTTTTCGATATTTTCTTTCAGGATATTTTGGTAATTTCTGTACCTTAATAAATTTATTATTGACACCTGGATGTGGAAACATTTCCTCATATTGAATAACTTTATCATCGGTGTATTTAAATAAACGTGTTAAGTGCTCTTCCTCTTCTTCTTCTCTTATCAAATCGATTTTGTTTGGTAGTCCTGAACATTAAAAAAATGTTCAATTTCAGTATTAGTTTTTTTAATAAGTTTCTGTTTTTTGAATTGAAAAGCGTGTATTGAAGCATCTTTGGTTTGGTGTTGATTGTGTTATTACATCAATTGTTGTTTTATTTTGTTTTTGATATTTTGTGTTTTTTGATCTCACTTAACTCACTTTCCGACATTCTAATGACTCTTTCAATATTAAAATTAAAAATGCGAAAATACCATACTAATTAATGAGTGACTGACTTTCCTATTAAAACTTTAACGAGTCGTAAAACCGACTTGTTTTCGTATGATTAAAAACAACCTTCAAAATTTCAAATGCAATGCAGTTTTTCATTGTTGCAATAATAATATTTGTGACTTTGACTTAATGAAACGTAAACACTCATGAATATTTGACATATTAAAAATATTCAATCAGTCCGACCAGAGTTGTTGCAAAAACTGTATAAACGCAATGCCTATACAAATAAACTTCACAAGGTAAAGTATAAACTTTACGCATTTGCCATGAAACTTTATGTTAAATAGGTCTGAGACTACAACTAATTTAGAAGCCCAACACGACAACCGGACATTTTCCGGGTTTTCAAACAAATAAATCACAACATTTCTAACTCAAGAGTATAAAATTTTTATAACTGAACAGACAGAAGTGCAAAATTTTAAAAAATTTTCAAAAATTTTTTTTTGCCAAGAAGAGAGTCTTGCAAAATTTAAAAAAATTTTCAAAAAATTTTTGTTTTTTTTTGGCAAGGAGGGGGGGGGTCGTGCAAAATTTTAAAAAATTTTCAAAAAATTTTAAAAAATTTTCAAAAAATTTCTGTTTTTTCGTCAAGGTATGGGGTCGTGCAATACTAAAAGGAAACAATAAACACCTTTTTTAACAATTTTTTTTTAAAATTTCAAAGTTTAGAAAACCTATCTCATCTATAGTTTTGGCACTAAATCGATCAATTTTCTAAATATATTTTTAAGATTTAAAAAAAAAATAAGCAAAAAATTCAAAACCCATAATCGCAAGATTATTGACGTAAGCTCATTTCCTAATTTGTTTGATTTTTGTTTATTTTTCACTAATTTAAAACAAATATTTTACTCACCTAAATCGTCTAAATAGATTTTTTTAGGCTTCGATTTACGATCTGATTTTAATTTTCCATGTTTTGTTGTAACTTCAGCATGTCGTGTTACTCGACCATCTACCTTTTGCATTTCAATAATTTCTTTCAATTCTATACGTGCTTGTGTACACCTTTTATTAATATTTTGTAAAAATGGATGATCAAGTAATTCTCTAGCAAATGGTCTATTTTCTAAATCTTTAACTAAACATGTTGCAATAAAATCATTTAATTGTGGGCTAAATAAATCTGGTTTTGATAGGGCTGGTGGTGGATTTCTTGGTATCTGAAAAAGTGCTCTCATTGGATGTAATTCACTTAATGGTGGTTCACCTTCAGCTAATTCAATAACTGTTATTCCAACAGACCATACATCACAACGTGAATCATATGATTGATCTAATTGTTGTTCACATGCAATAACTTCTGGAGCCATCCAATATGGTGTACCAACGCTTGTATTACGACGTGCTAATGTTGCTGCTAAATGTGAACTTACACCAAAATCAACTAATTTTATATTAGCATCATCATCGAATAAAATATTATGACCTTATGATAAAATTAAAAGAAAATAAAAATTTAGAAGACTTTAAGTTTAACTCGGCAACTAACCTTTAATATCACGATGCATACAATGATTTTCATGTAAATATATAAGAGCTTTTAACATTTCATAAACAATGTATGCTATTTGATCAGTGGATAAATATTTATTTTTAAGTCTAAGACCATGAACAAGATCAGTAACTGATCCACCATCGCACAGCTGGAATACAATAAAATATATTGCCAATTAAAAATTCTGCTATGAAATTATTTGGCCTATAGTACTTACCTCCATTACAAACCATAATTGATCATCTTCTATAACATTTCCTTTATTTAACCATATACCATAGAATTCTGGTAGGTTTGGATGTTTTGATAGATCACGTAACACTAAATATTCTTCTTCGATTTCTTCAATATTATCAGCAATACTTTCAAGTATTTTTACAGCTACCTTTTTATTTGTTTCACGATCTCGAGCACTATAAACTTCACCATAAGTACCCTCGCCAATTAAATCGAGGAGCTCGAATCGATCTTTTGGTGATGGTAAATTTGTAAAATTTATGTGATGCGATAAATTAATATACCTTGCCATACTTAAAGTGTGTAAGCAATATAAAACTGATTTTAATTTGTTTTATTAAAATATTAATTTTATTAATAAAAAGATGTTAAAAATCTGAAAAAAGAAGAGAAAAAATCGAAATTAAAGAATGATAAAAAATTCAAAAATTATTTAAGGTTTTTTATTTTACTTTCGAATAACAATTTTAACCAGTGAACGGACGGAGTTTAAATTAAATTGAAAAAAGTTAATTGAAGTTAATTTTACACGAGAAATTGATTTTTTTATTGAAATTTTTTAAATTAGTTGATCGGATGTTGGGCAAATTTTATCAATTATTCTGAATTAAAATTTACTCATGAGTTTCCTGTAATTTATTTTGTTATTTTATTAAGTAAATTAAGTGAATTTTTTTAAGTAAATTAAGTAAAAAGAAATATTCCCAACTAATCAAACCAAACCAATTACGTGCATATGATTTTTCCATTGACGACATACTTAAAATACATCGAAAAGACTTTCGTTAATAATCACCCAGGCTCATTCCAGGCTCATTTCTCATAACACAGTAACAATGGATTCCAAAAACAAACTGATGAGAAAGTTTTATATCAACCACCGCTTTGGGATTCCAAGAAATTGAAATTTGTGAACAAAAACCAACCGATAGCCTCAAACCATTCGAAAAACAAAAAACGGCAAACACCAAGCATAGACACCGCTTCAAACAAATAACATAGCCATTAGAACGTATCAGACACATCAGCCTTGTCTGCCCTATATAGAAAATGTGGATTGTTGAATATAGATTGTGGCTTAGATGATGCACCGCAATCTTAAAAATCTATCGTGTCCCGCCCTACGAGTGCTCAGTGTCTTGCCTAGAGCATTTCCGCGGGACCAACATTCTTGATTACTTCAAGCAATTTTTCCAGGGAAATATCCGGTAACGACAGACCCTTACGCAGGAAACAAATGCAACAAATAATGCAGAATAGTATATACCTAAAACGTTCATAGTAAAGTCCTATCGGATTACTATAAATACTAACTAGTATTGCAATAATTAAAAATTTTTATTTAGGTGAGATTTTTATATAAAATTTGCATATTACTAAATAAATTTATTATTAATCATAAAATTTATGTAAAAACCAAATTAAAGTTACATAAAAGTTACTTCTGTTCAATTTTCCAACCTAAAACACTTTATAACTAAGCCCAAACAACATAGAAATCTGTAAGTACTTACAATTATAATAAAAAAATTCAAAAATCTTTTGTATTTATGTAAATTTTTATTACTCTCGAACAAAATTCACAATAATCTTTTATGACGTAAAATTTTGTAATTAATGAGAAATCTTTTAATATAAAATTTTATTATTTACTATAAAATTATTATATTACTTAAGAAAAAATATTTTTAATTGGGCTACTGGAGTCTGGGTTGTGCATACAAATTTTCTCACTCACTATAAAAACTACTATTGTATGCTCAGACAACGAGTGAATTCTCACGAATAATTTGCAAATAAATAAATTTAAATAAATCTTTGTTTAAATCATAAAGTATAATAGAGTATATGAAAATAAAAAATAAAAACAACAACAAAAAGAAATCAAAATCATCTTATTTGAATCATTACATAGGAAAATTTAATAAATTGCATAATTTACCAAAAAAAAAATAATTATTAAATAAATAAAAAAAAAAAGTAAACGTAACCTCAAAATTTTCACATAATTTAAATTACAAAAACAAAAATATTAAAAATTTACTTTTAACATTAATTTGCTCTGATTAATTATGAATTCGTATAAGATTTTTCACTTCAATAACATTTGAATTGAATATATTTTTCAATTTAAAAAAAAAAAAATATTTAATTTTATTCATAAAGAACCAAAAATTATGCAATTAAATAAAAAAAAGTCTTCACACTATTATAAATTAATAGTAAAAATTTAAAAATTTTCCCAAAAATTATTGTATAAAAGATCATGTCGGTTATTAAGCAATATAATATACTCATAATGAAAGCCATTATTTTGGCGGGCTTTTATTTTTATAATTATTGCCAAAATGAAGTTACAATGAGAGTAGTTTTAGCACCATCCTTGAGATATAATTTTTATATTGGGCAATATACGCAATTATTTTTTATAATTTTAATAAAATTATATGGCTTCTTTAAAATAACAAAAAACGTAAGGAATACTGCTAGCGCATACTGCTAGCAGAAGAAAATATAATGAAAATATATTAATTACACACACTTACAAAAACAAAAAAGCGAAGGTTTGATCAATTTTTTCTAAGTGTACAATTAAAATGTCTCAAGTACAATTAAAGAACTTTTTAAGAAAACATTTAATTATAATTAATTAAAATTAAATGTAAAATTTTAGTTTTTTTGAAAGTATTGATTTCATTTAACATCATTATTTATTAAATCTTTTATTAAAGATTCGAACATTTTAGCATGATCTTTTTGCAATTATAAAATCTAAATTGCCTTTACAAATTTATTCCCAAGACGCAATATTATCTATAATTACCTCGTGCATACCAGAATTAGTCGTATAAAAGGCTACTACAAAAAGATTCGGCGAATGAATTTGTATCAATTTCACATTAGTATCAATGATAGTTTTGCCAATAATGTTGGGCAATATGAGTTTTGATTTCAAAATTTGAAAATTAAACGAAACATTCGCGATCTCTCGTCTTTTTGCCGAGGTGGTTATTATATTAATGAGCGGAGCCATAGTTTACATTCATAACGGGACAAAATTATGGGATCTTCCCAGTAAAGGGTTGATACGAGTATAAAGCATTTTAAAAAAAAAATTTTTTTTTGAATAGCCTAAATTCTGTTCTTATGAACGTCGTACATTGTAGATCAAACCGGCGATGTGTATTCAAAATTTTGGCGAATAAGACAAAAATAAAGAGATTCCAATGTATAGGAATCTCTAATTGCACAAATTTTTTTCAGGCCATCACCATTAAAAGAATAATCACTATTAAAAGAATAACCTATTACAGCACATATTTATTTACGATTAACTTCAAATTGACTTCAAAATGTTAAAAGAACACCATTTAAGCTTTTTTAAGTCATTTTCACTCGTAAGTAGTTAGGAATTCAATATTCCTAAAATATAATGCATTATAAATTTCCAAAACTTATTTAAATATTTTAATTTAATTAAATACTCTCCAATGCTCTCCAATATTTTTGGAGACTTTCAATTAATAACAGAATTCCATTACCATTTCTTTAAAAAAATTTGAGGGCGATAATAAAATATCCAAATATTTATTTTCCAGAATTTTTCAACAATATCACATTAATTACACACTATTTCATTATTTTTTTTAATTATCTTTCAAACACTACAATAATTTGATAATATTTTGAAAATAAATATAATTTTTAATAATTTTAAATACTAACTTGCAAAATAAACAATAAAATTTTTTATTATTTTTTTATTTTTTGCAAATTCAAATATTAAAATTGTAAATCAATTAAAAACAAATTATTTGACATATTTTTTTTTAAATTTATTTAAAATTTCAAGAAAAAAAAATTGTTAAAATATTTTTATTTTTGTTCTTATTAAAACTTTATCATTTTAAGGAATGTATTCAACTGAATTTAAAAATTGAAATTCTTTTAAAAATAAAGGCATAAAAGTGAATAGAATTTTCATTTTCATATATACTATACACACATGCATATAGCTATAAATGTATATAACCATTGTATGAATACAGGTTACCCATTAAATCTTATGTGTATATATACACATATAAAGAGATTTAAAAAAACAAATAACGAAAAATACAAATAAAAAATAATTTTAAATTAATTGGATTATTTTGAAGTACGGTAACGGTAAAGGAAAGCAAAGGAAACACATTGGAAAGAAATTAGTTGGAAAGAACAAAAAAAAACAACAACATCACGTCATAGGATTCTATGCTGTTAGGTGCTTTATTAAAAATAGTTTAAAGAAGCCATTTTTGGATATAATAGTTAGTATATACCAAAAACAAAATAATATTAAAAATAAAGTTGGGTCAAACTAATGATTTGTATAGTAGCACTTTTCCCTTCAACAAATGAAAATACTGCTTTTAAATACAGTCTATGTATACCTACCACACTACTAAAATTATTTTAATTCATATACGAAACTGTTTCCAAGATTGCATATATTTAGTATGAACGATTTATGCAGTCTTTGAAATAAAGCAAAAATGAGTTTGTCATGGAGTTTTGAAAAAAACGGGCATGGAAATTTGAAAAAAACGAACTTTTGATAACGGTAAAATTGAACGGCCATTTTGTTTTTTAAAGTTTAACTGTAGTATGGCGCGATAGGAGAAGCAAGTCACTGCCTTTCTGCATTCGCAAAATTTGGAATGCTTATGGTTTCAGTGCAATAAACAGTAAAGGAATAGCGTTTTTAGGGTTTTGGGGGGGGGGGGGGGGCAGATATGTAAATAGTTTTTTCTACGGAAACAAGTTTTTAGCAAAAATCTATGTACTTATTCTTCAAATTTCAGCTTTCTATCTTCAAGGGTGTAGAAGTTTTGTAAACATGTCCACGGACGTACGGACAGAATGAATCTAATAAGCACTTTTTTTCAAAAAAATTTTGGAACAGTGCTAACAAAGTGTACAAAAATTACAACATTAAATCTAACTGTTACAAATTTAGAAGAATGGACTACAAATTTCTTCTTCAATGCATTTCTTAAACATTTCTTAAATTTGGTGAACTTAAAAAGTGGGTAAGCATAAAAACCAAAATAATTAAATTCCAAAATCGCTTTAAACTTCTTCTATTCACAGTACCTATTGCCATTTAACGGTCCGTTCCGACTCATCTTTACTCTATGAACGATGACACGAAATTTATTCGGATTTTTCAGTTCCACTTAAATATTTAGCAAATAAATGAATTTGCTAAAAATCATCTAAGATAATATTTTTTAACTATATTTCTTCCAGAATTGAAAATTATGTGCTTATTATTTTTACTATGCCCATCCATTAGCCTCTTAAACATGCACGTCAAAATACTGAAAATATGTTTACGTCGAAATACTGAAAATGTCATTCTTTAACAATTTATTGTGTTACAATAGAATATTTCCATTTAATTTCCTAAATAGCGACAGACTTCATCTAACACGAAACGATACAGGCGAATCCTCCCCTTAGACAAAATAATATGCGAATCCCACACTCCCATACAAATAAATCGTTATTTTCACTCAAATCAGTTAAAAATTACTTAATATTTTTCGACCACAGTGTATTATCTCATCGAGAAGAATGAAATTAGAATTTATTTTTTTTGTAAACATGTTATCCCAGCCAACATACATACGTACATTATGTACATTTTTTAAAAACCAAAATTGAATTCATGGTAAAATCTGCTATAAATTGCTGTCACAATGTTTGAAAAAAAAACGTGATATCAATAGTGTACAATTATTTGTGTTGACTATACACTAAATTCGGATTAAAATGCGTCTTTCTTTATATATATATGTATATAGCTACTTTATATATTATATACATTTTGTACACACTACTAGACATGCCTACATTATTATTTGTTTTTATTTATTATTTTGAAAATTGATTTCAATATTTTTTTTAGATCTTATTTTATGTTTTAAGTGAGGTATAGTCAAGGGGGGGAAAAACATTTTGAATATTTTAAATAATATTCAGATATTTGAACAACAAAGAAGAATTTGGTTTTTTACAACATAAAGAAAACGTAATACATATACATACATATGTAGTGAACCAGATTGCATTGTTAAAATTTGTCACATGTCAAAATCACATTACTCGGAAGAGCATTTGAGAATATTAAAAACAAATTAAAAAAAAATAAAAAAATGTTACAAAGCAAAGGAATTACAAATTTAGGGTTTTAATATTTTTTTTTAATTGCCTTAGAAAGCTTTAAGATTTTAATTTTGTCAACGATTGCAAAATGAAAACAAAAGCTAATTAAAAAGAAAAGGCATTATTGTAGCTAGTGATTTCATATATTTTCCAAAAATAAAGCAATATTTAGAATTTATTTCTTTGCCAAATAACAGATATTTGCAACTTCCAAAAATAATTTTAAATGCCTTTGGCTTCTTTTGCTCATATATGAATTTAATTCGATTAAATTAAAAAATAACTATAACATCACTTTTTTAATTATATTAAGTCTAAAACTAATATGGCCTACTGCCGACCGGTTTTGAGTACAATAAGAAAGGTATTGCGATTGAACCAAAGTTCACGTGTTAATTTTTCAACAAAAAAACTAGTACTACTCCTACTACTATTACTATTATTACTAGAGTGTAGTACCAGTAATAGTAATAGTAGTAGTAGTAGTAGTAATAGTAATAGTAGTAGTAATAGTAATAGTAGTAGTAATAGTAATAGTAATAGTAAAAGAGCAGGACTGCGACCGACCACTCACGTGAAGCACGTGCACTAAACTAACAAGATGACCCATTGACAACCCTCAAATTAACAATAAAAAACACCCATGTAACGCAAACCACAAAAGCCATCTACCGGAGCCAATCAAACTCCTTGAATAATATTTCTTCCTAGCGAATCTGAAGTGTCGCGCCAAATATGAATTCCCCCAACCAGTTCTCTCAGCATCCCCACCAATATGCTCCTTTTAGTTTCCTTATCTATTAATGGATTCCTTCAGCGGCAGGTGAGCATCCCCAAAAAAGAATTAGTTAAATTAAAAATTTTTTTAACTAAAAAGTTGAATATAATACAAAATTGGAAATAATCAATAGGCCGAAAATTCTATATGATGTAACTGGAAATTAATATGAAGCAAGTTTAAATATTAATGCAATTTTTTAATCACTACCCTACACTCAACAAAAAAATATCCTCGAATTCTTTAAATTTTTGCAATCAAAGCACATTTTTTTTCACAAGGAAACTAAAAGAAATTTCAATACCTACACAATACATTCAAAAATAAATTTCCGTTAATTATTTCACACTCCGGAAATTTTGGTTAAATAGCATGTATATTCATATAGCATGTATATTCATATATGAACCTTTAAAGATATGTATGCAAATTTATTCAAAATAAATCTAAGTACAAAAAAAATCCCTTTTCTATATTTCTATCGAACTCTCTCTCACTCATTCTCACATTATATTAAAATGAATATAAAATTAGCAAAATTACTTCCGTACACTTTGCACTTGAATGCGTTCATAAGGTAACCCCAAACAACCTTAGCAAGCAATAACTATAAAAAAACAAATATTCACGAATCACAACATTATTGTGAATATTGTGATACAATTTGCAATATATTTCTATGCTATTTCTCTCTTATTTATTTTTCCTTTACTAATTCCCATTATTCTCTTAAAATGTATAAAAATATAAACCCATATGTATAAATATATTCATATACGTATATAATAGCAAAAAGTACAAGATTTAAAAAAGATTTTCCATGAAAATTGAAAAAATTTAGTCACGTTGCAAAATACAAAACAAGAAAAAGAAAATAAAAACATTCCGATTGCAAAATTTGCAATCATAATTTTTCTTTTGCTTTTTCTTTTTCAATTTCGAATCATAATTACACGCAAATCGATGGAATATCGAATTTCGGGAACTATTGTTATAGACAAAAGAAAGAAGAAGAAAATATATATCTCTTAAAATTGTAAGATGTTTTTAGCAAATATTTTAATATTCTCAAATTATCAAAATTATTTTCAAAAACACTATTAATTATATCACTATGAATCCACTCCAGAGACGCTGACTTCGAAACAACTGAACTGACTTCAAATCTGACCGTGTCATTATATTTTATCATGGAACTCTCATTTCTGCCTCTTCTGGATCGACCAGATATTTTAGTTTCCGGTTTATGTATAAAACTGCCTTGGTATATTTCGGCTGCCTTTAAATCTCTACATTCTTCAGCCATTGGCACTCAGAAAAATTATGTGAAACAGTATTCTCTATGTTTTTTGATAATACTTATCCTGGTTTACAACAAGATATTCTCTCACTTTGAAATTCCTATTACTGGTTCTCCATCTCCTGTTGCACTTTAAAAAACAAAACAAGGAAACCGGTTATTTCGAATATAATGGCATTACCGGCATTTGGGACTCCTCATTTTTCTTATTTTGTTTAGATAGGCCCAGAAATTTCTATATTCCGACAAAAATTGTTTGATACAGTAATTGTTTTCGTCTTCTAATGGTGTGATAAGCGGATTTTTATAGTCATAATAACGCTCAGGTTTTCATATAATAACTAATACATTTCTTTTTAAAAATAAACTACTTATAAATAAAGTAGCAGATTTACTCTTATTTATGGCAATTTAACAAACAAACAAAAGAAAAAAGAGAACAAAATTTACACATGATATCTTTATAAAATAACCATAAATACGAGTACATTCGGGTACACAAGAAATTGAGTAATAAGCTTATTTAATACCTTTTCCTATAAAATATTTTTACAACTTCTTAACGTAATTATATTCCAAGAGGTACACCGTA